CACGGCTCCCACACTCGCCTCATGTCTCATTGTTCTCTTTTTCTGCTTCCGCTTCTGTCCCATTTCGTTCACTCCCCCTAATACTTCCGTCTCCCTATTCGGTCGCGCTCTCCCGCGCCCTCCTTTTGGCATCTCCCCTATTTCGTTCCGTCGCTCGGCGCTCCTAGGGCCTCCGCACTCGACCGGCCTTCCTAGGCCGGTCCACCGGTCACGTGTCGGGCGTCCGAGGACCCTCCCCTTCTCTCATTGGACCATCTTTCGTTGTGTTGATGGATTACTCATCTACTATATAGTCGCCTGTTGCACCAGGGAGCAACCCAGACTTGTTCTCTCAGTTGCCTCCCTGCCTTGTGCGACAGGTATGTGTATTTCCCCTCGTATCCTTGTATATATACTCAGTTGCCTCCCTGCCTTGTGCGACAGCGTCTCCACCGCCATCCCGGGGGATCCGCGCCGCTCCTAGGAGCTCCAGCGCGTACTCTGACAGAAGAACAAGTCTCCACACTTCCCCTAGCGATTCCGCTCGCTACCGGAAGGCCCCCGCTCGAAGTTTGCTCACGCCTCGCCGTTCCGCCAGCCGCCAGAAGCAACCTCTAGCAAACCTATACCATCGCACCGCCTTCGTCCCGGTTTCTCCCGACTCGCCCCTCTCAGCATGGACGAAGATCTACCCCCCGCACCTCCCGCGGTGCCTCCGGCACCGCAGAATCAACCCGTACAAGCCGAGGAGGCCCCTCCAGAGCCACCGACCGTGCCGCAGCTCCTCGCGCGCATTGTCGCCATGGAAGGGTACCTCCACCAGGAGCGCGTCAACGCCACTATCAAGTTCCGTCGTCCTGACTCCTTCGACGGTACACGGTCTACGGCCCGGACCTTCCTGCGGTCTGTGAACGACTATCTCAACCACAGCCGCTGCGTCGACCCCATCCAACGCATCCAGTTCCTACTTTCGTACTGCCACGGTGGGACGGCTGGTACCTGGGCCGACAACATCTCCAAGATCCTCCGCGACCTCCAGACGGGCGTTAGAGAACCCGAGGAGGCTCCGGATTACCTTGCGTCCTGGGCCCACTTCGAACGCCACTTCCGCACGGCCTTCGAAGACCCCAACCCCGCCGCTACGGCCTTCAACAAGCTCTGCACGCTCCACATGGGATCCTCCGTCGCCGAAGACTTCATACGCCAGTTCGAGAATCTCGCCGAGGAGGCCGGGGTCAGCAAGGATGTCTCTCTCCTTGCCACCTTCAAGCAGGCGATCCCCTCTCACTTCCGGATCGCCCTGGAGTCCACACCTTTCGGACCCGACACTCTCCCTGAGTGGAAGGCCGCGGTCACCCGCATGGATCGCCGCCTGAGGGAAGCCAGCGCCGCGCGACAGGCCGAGGCGTCCCGCCTGCGCCCTTTCCAGCCGTCAGGAGCTCCTAGGGCCCCGCCTCGCCAGCCGACGCTTCAGACCTACGCTCCCCCGCGCACTGCCGCTCGCCCGCAGGCCGCCGCCCCCATCGCACCTGCTGCCCCGCGCTTCGCGCCTCCTCCAGGACCCCCGCCCTTGCCACCGGGCGTTCCCATGGACGTCGACGCCACACGTCGAGGAGGACAGCGCGTTTGCTACATCTGCCGCCAGCCTGGACACCTGGCTCGCGAGTGCCCGCAGCGCGCTCAGATCCGCGCTATCGGACTCCCCGAGGACGTCCTGGAGCAGATGGACCTGATCGGGGAGATCTGGGTGGTCCCTGCAGACGAGGAGGCGGAACCCCTAGGAGAACCAGAAGTTGAGAACCAGGAGGAGGATTTTGCGTAGGGTCGTCTGCAAGCGCGCTGCAAACGACCAATAGATTCGCTGTATTGCCTGAAATCATTATGCCGGCCCCCGAGCCGATTTATCATATATCGCCTTGAGTACAGCAAGTTGCGCCTTCCTCGGACTCCTCCTCCTTTGTCTACGTTCTCGCC